GTCAAAAAACTTTTCCACCCTCTATATCTTTTGCCGGCCAAACTAAGTATGTAGCTTTTACGTTCATCTGGTATCTCAAAAGTCCTCTGCAAAAAAACGTACGCATAGTGTGTTAGTATAAGTAATTTAAACAATTTATCGTCAAGATAATAACAACAATTAACCATATATGATATATACCTGAAGCTCTTCCCAAATCGCTTGTTTTTTCTCCTCCAATTCTAAATTTTTCGTTTTCGATTTCCAGGTAGCTACGGAGACCGGAATATGCATACGGACAAGTGTACCAATATAACTTGTCAACTTTGCAGAATTAGGACCAATTGGTTGTTTATCAGAATTCCATTCCAATCGGTATACTAATCCTTGGTCTCTATGTCGAATGATTCCCTTCATAATAGTGATGCCTCGTGCAACCTCTTTTGCTTCAGTATCAGGTGGAGCATTTGTATCCGAAGCAACTCTTTCTTGTGAGTTTTCTTGTGAGTTTTCAGGTGGGTTTTCAGGTGGAGCATCTCTATCTGGAGCCATTGAACCTGTATCAAACAAACTAAAGCACATTAGTACACTATTAACACTAACTTTATATGAGAAACATTTCAAAAAATTACAACATAGAAGTTATTATAAGAAGAAAAAAAATCAATCCATTATTAATTGTTCAACGTGAAGATATTAATAAAATAAAAGCATGTGATACAATCAATATTACTTTTTCATGATATTTCTTTTAGGCAAAGATGAGGGGATGCATACTCTATCAATATTAAAAGCATGTTCATTTAATAAATCTTAATTTTTAGTCAAATTGTTTTAAAGTACAAATTGTAAGATTTTCACATATTCGATGCCAGATTACTAAATATAATAATTAAAAAATATAAAAATGAGACCATTACTAAACATAAGCGAGTGAAGGTTATCGAGACCATTACTTTATCACTAACGTCTCTTTCTTTTCTTGGTAGGATTGTGTACTACACGTCTCTTAACAATGCGGACGGTTGGATTGATCCAAATACCCTCATTATGATCATTTCTAATACAAGATTCATTCTCATTTTGATCGTTTCTTGTACAAGATTCAATGCCAACACCAATATCACCTTGATCTTCAATTTTTTCATCAACTATTTTGTTAGATAAAAGCACTATAGACCATTTCGTACTTGTCGGATCATTGACATAGAACACTTGTTTAGCTTGAGAGGCTAGAATGAAAGGCTCATCTTTGTACCCTACCCTATTGAGATCCACTTGCAAAAATCCTGACTTATCCATTCGTACGCCACTATTATTTTCAACCCACTTGCAACCAAATACAGGAATCTGAAACTTCGCGTAATCAAACACCAAAATGCGCTCGATAACCCCAAAATATGACAAATTTGCAAATTTCGGATTTAAGTCATTCGCACTTGATATGTGCATAGCTTCAGCTACCAAGGTAACACCACTATTTTGCATAGTACTTTTATCATCCTGTTCTTTGGTATAAAATGTGTATCCATTAATTGCGTATGCGCTATAAGAAAGCACAATTACAGATGGACCATAGGCTAAACATCTCAACCTTTCTGTTACTGAAGCAGGATCTGAACGATACTTTGAATAAATATGATCTCTAAACCACGGTATGAAACTTCGATTGTGCTCTCGTACTATCCAGTTCTCATTTCTATTTGGATTTAAATCTCGGAGAACAACTTTGTGCATTTCAACAAACGGCTCAACCTCAATCTCATTGTGCAGAACATACAAGTGCACTTGATCCCGTTCGACCATTGATACTGTCACAACTTTATTTCCAATTAGCCTTTTTCCTTCTTTTTTTCCGACAATATGAGATTTGGGGAGTCCAATTGATTGAACATTTGACAGATATTCAGTACAAAACTCAACCGCTTCTTCAGCAATGTATCGCTCGGCAATACAACCCTCTGGTCGACTTCTGTTTTTCACGTACCCTTTTAATATTTTCATATAACGTTCAGCAGGGTACATCCATCTCATATAAGCTGGTCCGCACAATTGTGTCTCTTTCACAAGATGAACGACTAGATGAACCATTATGTCAAAAAACGAGGGAGGAAAATACATTTCAAGATCACATAAAGTAACAACTATCTCATTTTGCAATGTTGGTAAGATCACGGGATCGACCACCTTACTGCAAATAGACCTGAAGAAGAAACACAGCTTAGTTATTGCGCTTCTTACTTTTTCTGGCAGAATAGAACGTATACCTATTGGTAAAAAATGTTCCATTATAACATGGCAATCATGCGTCTTCAAACTCTTTAACTTGACGTCTTTCATGGACACAAGTCTTCTAATATCTGAAGAGTAGCCTTCTGGAACTTTTACTTCACTGAGGAACTTACACAATGTTTTCTTCTCCTTTCTAGATAGAGTGTAAACAGCAGGTGGCAGATATGTTCGTCTTCCTTTCGTCACGGGCCCCAATTCAGTTCTCATCCCCATGTTTACCATGTCATTCCTTATGTTAACGCCATCCTTAGACTTTCCTTGTATATTGAGTAGCGTACCTATAACGCTGTCAAATACATTTTTTTCAATATGCATAACATCCAGGAAATGTCTTACATACAACGACTTCCAATATGGAAGTTCAAAGAAAATTGACTTCTTCTTCCACCCACCCTTGACAATTGAATGTGCAAAAGGCTTGCCAAACTGAGTGCTCACATCTTTCACCTTTTCAAAAATTTGATCACCTGACAAAAAAGGCGGGGCTGTACGATGTTCGGCCTCTCCATTGAATGCTTTTCTCCACCCACGGTAGTGATGATTAGAATTTAAGAATCTACGATGGCCGAGAAAGACATTCTTCTGACAAAGCGCCAATCGTGTCGTATCGGTTTCATCTTCACAAACAGGACACGCCTTTTGACCCTTGTTGCTGTACCCGGATAGATTTCCGTATGCTGGAAAATCATTAATTGTTCCAAACAACATCGCCCTCAAGTTGAAACTTTCTTTCCTATACCCATCATAAACCTCCACACCTCTCTCCCACAAAAACTTTAAATCTTCGATTAAGGGTGCCAAGTATACGTCTATGTCATTCCCTGGTTGTTTAGGCCCAGAAATTAGCATAGATAACATCATGTACTTACGCTTCATACATAGCCACGGAGGTAAGTTATAAATCATAAGAATCACAGGCCATGTGCTATGCGAGATACTTTGAATACCATGCGGGTTCATTCCATCAGTAGACAATGACAACCGAAGGTTTCTTGCTTCTTTTCCAAATTCAGGATATTCAGTATCAACTTTACTCCATTGTGGTGAGTCTGCCAGATGTCGCAACTTTCCATCAATAATTCTTTCATCTGCATGCCAAGTCAAGTGTCTTGAATCGGTCTCACTACGATACATGCGTCTAAATCTCGGAATTATAGGAAAATACCATAAGACTTTAGCAGGAGACAACTTTTTCTTATATCGAGGGGCACCACATTTAGGACACTCATTCAACGCTGCATACTCGTTTCGAAACAAAACGCAATCGTTTGGACATGCATGTATCTTATCATAGCTCATTCCAATAGAAGACAACATCTTTTTGGCTTCATACGTTCGATTGGGAAGAACATTATCCTCTGGTAGCATATCTTTCATAAGGGCTAATAACTCTGTGAAACTTTTATCCGACCATCCATTGTCCGCCTTTAAGTTGTACAACTTTAACACCGCAGACAATCTTGTGAATTTTGAACAACCAACATACAACGGTTTCTCTGCATCGCTTACCAACCTCTCAAACATTTTGGGACAATCCGCAAGATCTTCTTCAAGCGCTTCTGCAATCTCTTCGACTCGATCACAATCGTATGTGTCTGTGCAATCGTCGTTTGAAGCATACTTCCTATTACAACTCGACTCAGCATTCCCGGTACTTTTCTCACCATGCATTGTCCAACATGTATAACTTCTATCAATTCCAAACCGTAGTAAATGAGATCCCAACTGATTCCCGTCAACCTTACCCCCGGCATAACAGCAACCCAAGCAAGGACACGGCATTCGAAGCGGGTCTTTGGAGTGCGCAACCGCAAACTCAACAAATTCCCATACCCCTTTCTCGTACTCTTTCGATAATCGGTTTGAATTCATCCATGTCTTATCCATGTCTTAATTAAGCTAAACAAAAACGGTCAAACTTTCACTCTTCACAAGTAACCCCTATGGCGAATTCAATTCACAAAGTTAGTAAGTACCTCACTTAACGATAGATAAATATATGAAATTAAAATTGTAAGAAATCTCTTTTAAATAAAAAGATGTTTTAAGTTTGAACTTAATTTTTGATAGTCTTGTTTAAAATTTTTATTGTATGTATAGTAGATGTGTCAACAAATATCAAAATACAATGACTAAAATTTATGATTACAGTTATATCAATATCAATTATACACATTTTATCCCTTAATCCATATTTTCACTTCACTATACAAACTCAGCATTTAATTTCAGCAGATTCACACTCTTAACTATACAAACTCAGCATCTAAGCTTACTACTACTAAGCCATATGCTGGATGTTAAACAATATCTAAAGAGCAATATTAGAGACATTGATTGATCTATCTATTTCAAGCATATTGAAAAGAAATTCAAAAAAAGATATATAATATAATGATATTCACCAAAAAAGCTACACTGTAAGGCATAATAATTTTAAACCACTGTTGCAAGACATTATGATATAGACCTCTAGTTATATTTATTAGGATTAGTTCAGTTCATTAAGATTTATTATTTTATTTATTTTTAGTTAGTATTTTTTGAATTTTTAAATTTGAATGTCCTATTTTTAAGAAAAGATTTAGGTTAAAACATAAGCTACCTATTAACTAGTAATTTTAGGAGAAACCAATCACAAACTCCGCCACTGCCGCCTGCATAGGTCTTAAGAACATATTTTCAGTTGGTTACAATACTTCCTTCCTACCACTTCATCAACAAAGGTCATGGCTACGGAATATCCTGAGGCTAACAAGGTTGTCCAGTTTTTCATGATCATTACTGAAAATCGTCAACAAGGAGAGCTTGTAAAACTTTGTGTAAGTCTTTCATTTGTCATGTTAGAAGCTTGCATCATCCCTATACAACATTTTATGTGCTCATTATGCTTATTTGACAGATGTTACCAATAAAGTTTGTGAGGAAACATGGACAAGGTTTACCAAATGTTATATGTCTAAAGACTTCCAATGGAGAAAACTGGAAAATAAATTTGGTGATGAATGATGGCAAAATATGGTTTGGACAAGGTTGGAAGGAATTTGCACAGTATTATTCTCTAGGTTATGGCCATCTTCTCGTTTTTAAATATCAAAGACTTTCCGAATTTCATGTTGACATCTTTGATACTACTAGAGTAGAGATAGAGTACCCTCCTAAAAGAGTTGAAGCTGAAAAAGAATGTAGAACAAGTAAGAAGAGAAAAGCTAACTCTTCCTTTGAATTTGGAAGCACTAGTTGTGCCAAAAATAGCAAAGGTATAATCAACATTCTTTTTACATGTGCCAAAAGTTATCTTAACATGTAAAAAGAATGTTGATTATACCTTTGCTATTTTTGGCACAACTAGTGCTTCCAAATTCAAAGGAAGAGTTAGCTTTTCTCTTCTTACTTGTTCTACATTCTTTTTCAGCTTCAACTCTTTTAGGAGGGTACTCTATCTCTACTCTAGTAGTATCAAAGATGTCAACATGAAATTCGGAAAGTCTTTGATATTTAAAAACGAGAAGATGGCCATAACCTAGAGAATAATACTGTGCAAATTCCTTCCAACCTTGTCCAAACCATATTTTGCCATCATTCATCACCAAATTTATTTTCCAGTTTTCTCCATTGGAAGTCTTTAGACATATAACATTTGGTAAACCTTGTCCATGTTTCCTCACAAACTTTATTGGTAACATCTGTCAAATAAGCATAATGAGCACATAAAATGTTGTATAGGGATGATGCAAGCTTCTAACATGACAAATGAAAGACTTACACAAGGTTTTACAAGCTCTCCTTGTTGACTATTTTCAGTAATGATCATGAAAAACTGGACAACCTTGTTAGCCTCAGGATATTCCGTAGCCATGACCTTTGTTGATGAAGTGGTAGGAAGGAAGTATTGTAACCAACTGAAAATATGTTCTTAAGACCTATGCAGGCGGCAGTGGCGGAGTTTGTGATTGGTTTCTCCTAAAATTACTAGTTAATAGGTAGCTTATGTTTTAACCTAAATCTTTTCTTAAAAATAGGACATTCAAATTTAAAAATTCAAAAAATACTAACTAAAAATAAATAAAATAATAAATCTTAATGAACTGAACTAATCCTAATAAATATAACTAGAGGTCTATATCATATGTGTAAGAGAAAATTATATATTTTTCATATTTTCATTGAAAAATAAAATCACAAATCTTACTGATGAATAGTTACCAGGTATACTGAGTTTTACATTGATTGATAAATAAGTCATAGCCTTACTTATACAGTTGTTTACACAAAATTGGACCCTACCCACTTTTAACTTTAACAATATTATTTTGGATATCCAAATTTCATGGAACATTTACAATAGAAAACTTTAAACTTATTGCAAGATCATAACTGTTAAGCTTATTAGATTGGCTCCAAAAATAGTCTTAGAGAATCGGAGAGGATTCATATGAGACATAGTACAAGAAATCTTTTGAAAGAAACATGGCTATGAAAATTGATATAAAAAAAAAAGCATTTGATACTCAAAATGGAGTTATTTATTCTATATGCTTAAGAACTTTGGCTTTAATATTATATTTTGCAATTGAATTACAACAATACTTCATTCAACCAAATTATCAATTTAGTTAATGACAAGGCAACAAGCTTTTTCAACTGTTCTAGAGGAATAAGACAAGGAAATTCCATTTCTATTTTACTATTTTGCATTGTTGAAGATGCTTAAGAAGACAATTTGCAAACATGATTGAACAAAGACATATTACATGTATCGCTCATGACAAAACTAAGTTTCCAAGTCACACTTTCTTTGTAGATGATCTCAGATATTTTGTAAAGCTACCAAAAGTGATGCATATCCTATCCACAAATTATTACATGAATATGCTTAAAATTCATGCCATCGCCCTAGTCCCACAAAATGCAAGGTATCCTTGGTTTTTAGGCTATCCACAAGTTGCATGCATCTTTGGTTTCAACACAAGTCACACAAACTTTGATTACTTTGGAGTACCAATATTCAAGGCTAAGTCAAGAGTTCAATATTTACATCCAATAGCAGATAAGGCCTAAACCAAATTAATCACATGAAAAGGAAACATCTTATCTATGATGAGAAGAATTCAACTATTGTTAACTCGATAATCCATAACATGCTAACCATATTCTAACATTAGTGAAATCCACATGTAAACTCTCAAGAATCAACAACAATCAAACATATCTCATGATTCCAATATAATCCAAAATAATTATAATACCAACACCACAACACATTCAACATGAAATCACACAAGTAAGCATGTATCGTCATCAAGTTTCATGTTCATAACAACAACAACACAAACCCTAACTTCCCAACCATGGATTTTTCTCTCAAAGCTAAAATTTAACTATGAACTCACCTCTAGGAAGAAGATGATGATGAAATATTGGAGACGACTTGATGAAGCAAGCTCTTGATCCTTAAGTATTCCAAGCTTTTTTTCTTTCGAAGAAGACGATTGAGAACGGAGAAGACGATTCCAAGCTTAGGGATTTGGAAACGATTGAAGACGATTCCAAGCTTAGGGATTTGGAAACGATTTTGTGAGTTTTCTGAGAATGCAAGATTTTGAAACGATTTTGTGAGTTTTCTGAGAATGCAAGAGTTTTCTGAGAATGCAAGCTTTTGTGAGAATGAACGATTTCTTGTTTTAAAAAATTTTAATTGTAAAGAGGGTATGACAGCGCTTTTGAAAAGCGCTTTCGTAACTAAGGCTATACCAGCGCTTTTGAGGATAAAAGCGCTCTTGTACCCCACCCCCTATATCAGCGCTTTTGAAAGCGCTTTCATAAGCCCCCTATAAGAGCGCTTTCAGAAAGCGCTTTCATACCCCCCCCACTATAAGAGCGCTTTTCAAATGCGCCTTCGTACCCCAGCCTCTAAGAGCGCTTTCTGAAAGCGCTTTTGTAACCCCCCCTTTAAGAGCGCTTTTTTAGCGTGTTTTTTTATTTTGTTTTAGCGCAACCTATACCAGCGCTTTTTACAAAAAGCGCTTTAGTAGGGGTGCTGCTAAAAGACAAATTTGGTGTAGTGCGACTACAACCTCAACAGTAATCATTGAGAGAATCTTGGATATCTTCTACTTCAATAGTAACGCTGAGCGAATCTGGGGATGATTACTACCTCCGCAGTATCGGGGAGAGAACCATAGGCGACTACAACCTCAACAGCAATCATTGAGAGAATCTTGGACGACTTCGACTTCAACAGTAACGCTGAGCGAATCTGAGGATGATTACTACCTCTGCAGTAACGGGGAGAGAACCACAGGCGACTACAACCTCAATAGTAATCATTGAGAGAATCTTGGATAACTTCTACTGAGTCTTTATCAGGAAAATCTGTTTGGGGTCGATTTAGCTGGACTAGAGAAGGCCTTGGACTGGATAAGAAACAGAAAATCTTAGGGTCGATTAACTGAACCGGTCTAGGTCTTGAAATCTTCAACTGGATAAGAAACAGGGAGATCTTAGGGTCGATCTGACTGAACCAGAGAAGGCCTTTGACTGGATAAGAAACAGAAAAATCTTTGGGGTCGATTTAACTGAACCGGTCTAGGTCTTGAAATGTCTTCAACTGGGTAAGAAAAAGGGAGTCTTAGGGTCGATCTGACTGAACCAGAGAAGGCCTTTGACTGGATAAGAAACAGAGAAATCTTTGGAGTCGATTTAACTGAACCAGACTAGGTCTTGAAACATAGTTGAAAATTTAACTGGATCTTTCCTGAAAGGTAAAGGTCAGTCATATGCAATGCATGATATGGATCAAGCAATGATGTTCTCAACATAAATGAGATTTGTAAGATATGATGCGTATATGCATGCTATAATGATGTATGTGATGTTTAGGAATGTATGTTTTCGTCTAGGAAAGTAAATCCTTGACGGGTGCCAGGAAGTCACTCCTGGGCTGATGTTGAAGAATAGATTTTGCCTCCGCTGGGGATGATAGTTGCAAGAATTCCGGTAGGAGAAGCTAACTCCGTTGGGGAATAAACTTGGCGAATGGATTACTCTGCGGGGAGAAAAGTACTCTAGTGATCTTGCTGGGAAGCAATACTCTGTGAGGAGAGAGATACTTTGCTGAGTGTTGATAATAACTTGCTGGGGATACCATTGTTGTGTTGGAAGTGTTGATAGACTTTGCTGGGGATAGGAAGACTCCGTCATGGACGCTCTTTCCGTGGCTTTTGGCTGAGGATAACCCAGTTATATCCTGGCGAGGAAATAACTCTTTGAATAAAGCCGGGCGACGCGTTCGTGCTCTGCGAGGGATAAGCTTCCAGAATCTACTGGGGATAAGCTTACCGCTTGGGGAGATGGATTCCAATTTTCCTGGGGAACTATATTGGACTCTCTTGGGGAAGTTTTGAATTGTATCGGGGAAGTGGCTCCATTGAATATTTGATATACCGCCGGGGAACAATCTTTAGACCAAGATTGCCGGGGATGCTTGTTAGGAATGTTTGTATGCTGCTGGGGAATGTTGGGAGGATACCCAATTCCCTTAAGGTTTGATAACTTTGCTCGGGGAGAATGCACTGACTTGCTGGCTCACTCTCTGGGGAATTAAGATATCTGGTTATGTTCTTCAGCTGAGCCTACCTTGGTACCTTGGAGGATAGAACAGTTAGATTTCTTAGACAACTCTTTATTGCCCCTGTTTCTAATGTTACCCGTAATTAATCCTTTATTTCGTATGCAAATATTCATGAGTTAGCAAATTATTGTCAATGCATATATCACAAATTGGACCTTGGACGTTCTTCGCAAAACAAAACAGAAAAGGAAAAAACCAATGGCAATTTTAACTGAAAAGTGATTTTTGTATTGATTTTGAATTTGCCTGTAAATAGGCGTTTGTGTACAAGAGGCTGACGTCCTAGTAAGAGAACGCCGCTGAACAAAAGAGTTTATACAAATTTTGTACAAGAGAACATAAACAGCTGTGTGAAAAGAATGATCCACTGGGTTTCAACTCTGCTATTGCCTTTATATCTCCGAGAGTCTCATCACTTGATGACCTTGGTTGAAGATGAAGCTGACTGATCGATGCCGTCTGAACTTGATGTAGATACCGGATTCTAGATGCAAAGTGATCCAATGAGACATAGTATTACGCTTTATCCCTAACTTTTGCCTGGACTGCCCTTTCGGGTTTTCAGTCCACCGGGATACCCATTTTTGCCCAAGCCGCCTTTTCAGGTTTTCGACTTGCCGGGTGTACAGATTTTTTTTCATTTCATCCCTTCATTTTGCCCGAACCCTTTTGGTTCGCCGGGAAGCCCTAATTTTTTCCTAGGCATGTCAGTCTAGCGGGTCTTTTTCATGCGTAGTATCTTTTTACTATGTCTGCATTGGCGGGGTGAGGAAGGTCGTCACCATCCATGTTGGTTAGAATCATGGCTCCTCCTGAGAACACATGTTTGACCATAAATGGCCCT